ATTCACACAGCTGGAACTCTTCAGTCATGGTTTTAAGAGCATGAAGGTGAACTTCACCATGTTCCTGGCCAGCCTACTAACCAGATTTGAACATCACTGAACCGCTCTGATCAGTTTTAGAGACCAAAGTGAGGAACAGATTCCCATCCCCAATATCTCTAAAGTGACTTGAAGATGTTCTTCAAGAAGTATGGTATAAAATTCTGCTAGAGGCTGTTTAAAACATATATGAGTCAATTCCAAGAAGAACTGCGGCTGTATTGAAGGCAAAATGAGGTCTAACGCCATGTAAATAAAGAAATGTGTACAGAATCTGCAGTGTGTACTTTATTTTGTCCAGCCACTATATATTAACCGTTCCGCAATCGAGGATGATATAGATTAGTTGCCCTCTGGGATGTGACCCGTGTAATCTGATAGATCGCTACTTACTTTTCTGAGCAAGGCTAGTAACGACCCATCAGACTACACGGGTCACATCATAGAGGATAGTAATCTTCATAGCCACCGCCGTGTGGAACTCAAATGTTGCAAAGAGGAGACCTACATGATTGCTCATTGTTCTAGACGGCCAATAACTCAGCCAGCCAATCGCTCTCAGAGGTCACTGTTGGAAATCATTTGCTGTATAACCTGTATTCACTTCTTAATTATTTAACAGCAACAACAGTAGTGCCCTGATCAGAGTGCAGGTCCTTAGGTGGTATATTACGAGGTCTCTGGCGTTGAAATGCGCAGTAGGTATGCCTACGTCACTAACACACAATGTGTGTGCCCAGGTTTCACCCAGGCGCATGTACGTGTGATGAACGAGAGAAAATGCATGTAAAACTTTATTAGACAAATTTGGTCTATTTCGACCTCCAAGCTAAGAAATCGAAAATGAAACATAGTTTTCTCCATTCTTATCCATTTAAGGCCTAAATATTAAACAGACGCTGTTGGTTTATCCCTGGACTGGTCACTTTGAATTAATTTTACATGGCTCCAGAGCAAACGGGTCGGAAGTTGTCCTCGAGGAGTTCAATCCGTTTCGTGGGCATATCAACATATTATGAATAATATGACCTTTCATTGACTTGCAAACTTCATATACTGTGTAGAGAAAGTATTCTAAGGGTAAACAATAAAATGGATAATTGAAAATCAGATATTGAGAAAAATTAAAAATTTGAGGCCCTTTTGATATTTTCCTGACTATACCTACTCCAGGAATGGTGACGCCAAAGTTTCGGATTACTGCGTGTCTCAACTCTCTGAAAGCATAAAGAAGAATTTGAAATGTCATGTTCGAACTAATTAGTAAAAAACTAATACATTTCTTTCGGTTGGTTTAAATAATTTGCAGCTATTTGACAGCTTTAAATGGTAGAGTTTTTCTTGCGAGGCTCGACGAACTACGACCCCCCTCCCCTACTTTGCAGATCGAGACTTGGGTGAAAGAACAGAGTGACCTTGCAGTTACGTAAAAGAAGCCAACCGGAACTTTTTTCTTAATTGACCAATCAATAATGAAATTCGATGACACATACCGCATAAAGCTTGCCGATCCAGGGGATCGTTCAGTGCAATGTTCACGCCGACTTGAACCGCCTACACACGTTTTTCTGTGTTTGTGTACAGGTAGAGGCCTTGCGACGAGCTGATCACCCGCCCAAGGAGTCCTACAGAATGTGTAAGATCTTGAAAAACCGAAGTGAACGGAGAAGTTAATGGAGGTAGGCCTAGGCCCACTGGGGCTGTAGTGCCAAGAAAAAAAAACTTGCCCAAGAGTGTTACATACCCTGTCCATCTCATCTTCGTATAGTCATTACTCCAACAATACTAGATAAAAAAAATTAACGTCCTTATTATGCAGCTAACTCAAGCTTCCTATGGCTTCCTCCTTGCCGGGTCCAGATATTCTCCTCAGAAACCTGTTCTAAGATAACCGCACTTTATACCTTTCTGGAAAGCGAAAACCCAGGTCTCTCTCTCTCTCACACACACACACACACACAAATTATAAATACGTATAAATAAAAATATAAAAAGCAGGGAAAGAAAAAGTATTGTACATTTAATCTCTCGGGGCTTAAGAATAAAACAGGAAAACAGCATTCCGAACTAAAGGGAAAGAATAATTCCCCGGTTTTTTCTCATCTTAAATTCTTTGATATTGTAATTTTTGCATATTTAAGGATTTGACAAATTGAATTATTTACTGGAATGAGACTATAATCTTTCCTATTTGCCATGAATAAAACATGTAGACGTACAAAAATATTTCCCTCGATTATGCTGTTACTCCAGCTCCTCACGTTGCTATTTTGAACATCCACATCATTTCAAACGCAATGTTGTCGCCTCAGATTCCTAGTTTTATAGTGTGTAGAGTGGAAGTCGTTAACCTAGTTCCGTACTGTAAAGTTTACTGATTGATTTCAGTTCAGTCAGCGCGAGATCGTCCTCCTGAGCATCAATACTTTGACGCTGTAACTGCAGGCCATTACTGTTAAACTGCGTAAAGCACAGTCCTTGAAATATTCCATAAATACTGATGTACTACGACGTGAAGTGCTTTGATCGTGTCACGGAGACTCTTCAGAAAGACGTATTGACAAATGTTACGAGATTTCATGTTTGCTTTACGATTCCAAGAATTATTTCCTGTATGGGTATAAAATTTGGTCTCGCTTTCTGCGAGAAAGAACACGGCACACAAAAGCAACTAAGTAGGTTTTGTGGAATTTGAGGACTAGGCCGCTCCCGGACCCCGCGCCTCAAGAGGGCCAATGTTAACTGTAAATAATGTGACATGACGCCTGAAAGTCGGAATAGAGGAGACGGAGCAGACGTCCATTACTAGGCAGCAGCTCCGTAGACACATTCTCGCAGCAATGAATATGCAAGCAACACTCGAAGAACTGCCGTTTCTATGCAACGACGAGCTAAACACACCTATAGAACAATAGAGGAATTGTCAGGAAACGGTGTTTCCTGTTGGGGCCGCGGCGGTTAAGCATACAGCCGTTCAAGTGTCTAGACTGCCGTTGTAGCTGAAGCTACTAGAAATAAGGCATAATCTGCTGTACTGAGCCTGGACTTACAGAGCTCCTGTATATATTTAATACATTTATTATCATGTTTAACATGTAAAATGTAAATATCCTTTACATTGTGACAAATGACTTACTACTACAGACAGAGACTCTGACAAAAGACAGACCCGTCCTCTCGTCAGAGAGGGTGCCCCATAATAACAAGACCTAAACTGTCAAATAGTAATAAATATCTTGTCATGAGCCCCACATTAGGCTCGACACCAAGATTGACTGACTGACTGACCATCAGTCGCAATGTGACTTTGACTTTGACTTTGAGTCTCCTGAGATGACAGTCGAATATAGTTGACAAGAAATATCAAGAAATGAATTATTTAATGACTCTGACAAAAGACAAACATGTCATCTCGTCAGAGAGGGCGCCCCACAATAACAAGACCGTAACTGCCAAAGAGTAATAAATATCTGGTCATGAGCCCCGTATTTGGCTCTAATTACAGTGAGACTATTATAAATCCGTTGTCAGGATACGACTGGTGAAGACAGCAGGCTGGTAATGCTTAGCGGGTGCTGCTGTGATTTGTAAAGTGTGGGGAATGCCGATAGAACTGTAATGGCCTGTAGTGTGTATAAGGTGTCAATAAATCGAATTATCAATCCAAAACCTGTTTATAAGTCACGCACACCTCCAAATATCTGATAATATAATTATTTTTGTCAGCATATGAGCTTAATTAAAAAAGAAAGAAAATCTATAAGTAAATTCATTAAAAAGGAATTATTACAAGAAGGTGACTTCAAGGTTATCCAAAGTATTTGCCGATTCGGCACGATTACAAATAATTTTTAATAGAATTTGCCTTCAAACAAAATCTACATATAAATACCGACCATTAAATTTCTTTCTGTTATAGTTGATTATAGGAAAGTGGAATTTATGGCGTTATTTGAAATTTAGAAGCTTAACATTCGTGGAATTTCATGAAAATCGGTCAGATTGTTCAAAAGTTAAAAACTGAAGGATACACAGATAGATACAACCTACATACCATTACAATCTCGGACCAATATCCCTAGGAATGGAACTGAATGCAGTCCAATAAAAATACACGCTGATGTTTAGAGGGACGCAGCTTACGCGATCCAAGTTTATTATGGGAGGAATGACGAAGCATGTTAACATCTTTATGTATTTGGGACTTAATGCCATATGTGTAAGAAATATTTACGCTGATAAAAAGACTATAAATTTTCAAGAGATAAATGGAGAAGTATGAAGGAATTTAAAGAAAAAAAAAACAAATAATAAGCAACTAAGATTCTAAGTTATAAAACATCGATTATGTCAATTTTGCTGTATGACTCGGAACTATGGACATAGAACGAAAGCAGAATTGAAGCAGAGTAAATGGGTTTTCTTAGATCGGCAATAGGAATACTTGTACACTGGAAGTGAAGATACGAGACAGAACCTGCAAATTAGCAGTATACGTGATAAACAGGGCCCGGATTTTGATGACATGTCATCTTTTTTTCCCTTGTATCCTATGAGATACTCTTAAATATATAAATCTCGGATATGAGCTGCTGGTTACAGAAATGTAAATTTTATAGGTGATTTTTTGACATTTCTAGGTTTAAGGTCATTTTTTCATTTGGGGGTAATTTTTTGGTAAATTTTTGGACTTTTAAAGGCATTTCTTGTCATTTTTGGCCATTTTAGGGAATTTTTCTTCATATGTTTTTTGAAATGCGAATAACATGGAAGCGAAATGTTCTTTCTTTTCTCCTTTAGGTCATTTTTCTGGATTTTTTTGATCATTTTATAGGCCACTTTTTTAATATTTTCAGGTCATCAAAATCCGGGCCCTGCATATTACATTTTTGGGTCATATTTTAGGTCATTTTTCTGGATTTTTTCGGTCATTTTATAGGTATTTTTTTTAATATTTTCAGGTCATCAAAATCCGGGCCCTCTTGATAAATGATGGGAATATGCAGAGAGGACAGCAGAAAACAAGATTCCAAAAGGAATATTAAACTATAGATCGAGAGGAAAAAGAGTTGTTGGATGCCCTGAAGAAGGTGCGGATTGATAAAGACTCCAGTCATCTCTCAGCAACCACAAACATCACACTGACAATAGAACATATAAGGGCACTTTCATTCATCGGCAGAATACAAATACACAAGGAACATCAACAACAAAACGACACCGCACAGTTACCAAAAAATGTTCATTTTATTATTCAAATTAAAGGAAAAGAAAAAGTGAAAACATTTAAATTATAATCCATGTTAATTAATATAAATATGAAATGTACACGCGTCTAGCAAAAGAAGAACAACCGTTTCTATGCAAAGGCGAGATAAACGCACCTTTGTAACGATAGAAGAATTTTTGGAAAACAGTGCTTTCTGTGTAGTTCGTGCCGAGTTGTTTTATGAAAGACAGTCTGAAGCAAAGAGTTAGAATCCCGTTTGAAGGCGGTGTCAAATTCCTCCTCCTTAGCCCTGCGAGGCTTAGGAGGCGACGAAAAAGAACCCAGTGCCTGGCGGTATAACCGGGCCACCTTGTTCCTGGGGGACATAAATACGGGGACCTGGCCGTCCAGGTTGGGGGAGTCTCGAACCTGAGATGGTAAAATGTGATCGTGAGTCCTGAGGGACTCGGACCTGGGAATGAATGCGCTGGCGAGAGGCAGTAGCAACTGAAAATAACAGTCCCATCCTCTCGTGAGAGAGGAAGTTACATAAGGACTGTAACCTCAAGTGTTCAGTTGGAAAATAAAATTAGTGGTCGTGAGTCTCAAGGGGCTTGTCGCCAAGACGAACTGATTAGTGGTAAACTACCAGCTGTAAAGTAAATCTGACTCTGACATGGGTTGTCCAGTGACTGAGGTTAGCTCTTTCTAAGGGACCCAAAGACTAGGTGTGTGTCTTCGCCCTCACCTGAGGACGGAAACAGATCTAGGGCCGAAACATTGTATTCTCTAGTTTTTAGAATACGGGACGACGAAGAAAGTCCAAAAATATCGTAATTCTGAGTGTTATACACCATCTTCAGAACCCTTTTATGGTCTACTCGACTTTTTTCTTGTCCACGTCGTCCAGACCGTTTCCGAGGCCCACCCAGCCTCCTATTCATTAGGCACCTGGGACTCTTTACCGGGACTAAAGCGGATGGGACGTGAAGCTGACCACTCATCTCCAACTGACACATAGGTCAAGAATAAGTGGATCTATCCATGCACTCCCCAACACATTCGTGGTGTAGTGCTTAATTAAGCACAAGGACAACTTTACTTTTACCAGCGTAACAAGGGATGAAGTGAACATAAAATGGAGAGTTCGTATCATTCTTNATGAAGCTGACCACTCATCTCCAACTGACACCTAGGTCAGGAATAAGAGGATCTATCCGTGCACTCCCCAACACATATTCGTGGTGTAGTGCTTAATTAAGCACAGGGACAACTTTACTTTTACCAGCGAAACAAGGGATGAAGTGAACATAAAATGGAGAGTTCGTATCATTCTTTCTGTCGATCATCTTGTTCCAGCTCCGAAATCAACTTCCATTGGGCTTAATTCTGGTACAATAAATATGGCGCAAAATTTAATTCCAGTTCCTACTAGCCCATTGTGAAATTTATATTCACAAAATCCTGAAACAGAAATTCCTTTAGAACTGTCATTCATATAAAGAATAGTAATACCTCATGAAGAACTGGTATGAGTAACATTTACGTTATTTGATTGTGGCTGTTGCTTAAAAGAGTTAACAAGCAAAGAAAAATAAAGTGTAGGTATATGCAGCTGTATACCTCTGTGATTAATACGATCATAAACATAACTGTATACGCAGTTAACTAGATATGCATTTACAATATATAAGCATGAAATCGAACGTGCGATATATCGAGAACGAAGTATACACTTGCAACGCACATGTCCCTCTCGGCAATACGAAGCAATTTTCATGAGCCTGCATAGAGGTTTCCTCGGTGGACAACTTAATATGTGAAGAAAGCAGTCTTCTGGGATTTGGCACCGTGTATATGTGGTGTTAACCGACGTTTCGGAGGAACGTATCGCCCCCATCTTCAGGGTAGAAGAAAAAGTATAAGAATTCTGCAAGCGACAACACCGTGAGAAACGGTAAAGCAGACTGNGACTGTCAATTCGCTTTCTAATTCGAAGGTTGGACATGTGGCTGTGATGGGATAACAAGGATTATATACATGAAACTGGTGCAGAAATCTCTCACAAGACAAAGAAGGAGAAGAGTTGATAAAACTAATATGAACTTAGGAATATGTGAACCTTGATGGCTGAGACATTAAAATCTTAAGATATGAGCCTGGATAGCTCAATAATTAAAATTAATTACCACATTGTATATGTGAAATTCCTGGTTCGAATCTCGGCCAAGGTATCGAGTATTCTAACTTGGGACTTTTTACGGTATTACTGAGCCTCTCTCTAGCCCAATGCCATGATAGTCCCTCGAAATAGTCCACGACTGCTCCTATCCAATCCCTACAACTTCGCCAAATGGTAATCCTGTGTTTGCCTGATGATGGCTTTAATAGCCGAAATATGTAGCTAAGCTAATTTTAGCCTTGACCATTGTATTGTTGTGTTGCAACGGACTCTAATAAAGAATTGTCCTTAATTGTTTCATCCATCAGCCGAACCATCTGACAGTTCATACTTCCACCCGTACAGTCATGCACCCAGCCATCCTTCTGTTGAAACAATTCTGGAGCAGACGTGCGCAGCTCAGAAATAAGAAACGGAACAGGAAGTAGTTATACTCACCGTTCATAAAATGATCCGAGCCGGTGACCATCATTCACTAAGCACTGTGTCCGACAGAGTTATCATCAGCCTCTGGATTCATTTCCTAGCCCACTGGTGACCTGAACAGAATCACAAGTCTGGAACTTGATTGGTCCCTTCACTTCCATTGCTTCAGAATTTTGTACCGTGTCGAAACATCATGGAGAACCGTCCTCATGAAATGTTCGCTCCAAACTGACCTGGCGACGCCATCGGCGGCAAGTCCACTTTTGCGGGAAGGGGCAGAGCGACACATGCGTCGTAGCTTCCGCGTATTGACCAAATATTGCTTCAATGAATAAACAACCCTGACACTAATTGTACAAGCAATTTCGTTCCGTGAACTTACATTAGTTTCCATTTCATTGACTGATGTGTTTGTATCTTATAACGAAAATACGACATTTTAGCTCACGGTATATCTTATTCAGTATCTCGAGTTCAGGCCCCGTTAAAGCAGAACAATTGAATGCAGAGTGACTAATTCGATTCTCAAAACCAGACCTGGCATTACTCTCTTCATTGGACCCTGTGGCCGATAATCTGCTTGTCGGTTTTTGCTCGTTTCAAATATGTTAAACCTCTTACGGAAAACACTGCAGGAATGTATTTCTCTAGGTTATACTGACAAATTATTCAACAAGATTTTGATTACACTATATAGATACACATAAATAATGGTTTCTTGATCATCAAAACATTTCCTGTCTATATATATTAATATCTTAAGAATACCTTTCTTTCCGGAGAGATTTTGATACAAACCACCTGTTACGTTAAGGGAGGAGGAGAATCGTATTTAAGGAGAAATAAGGAAGGAAAATTAAAGAATGCTGAAGAGGGGAATCTATCTATTTTACTGTCACATATTTAGGGGCGTGACTGTAGACGGGGTTTGGACTGAAGATTCGATTTATTGACCACGTTAACACACTACTCGTAATTACACTTTACAGATCACTGCCGCACACAGACTAGTGTCCTCAGTCTGTTACAATCTCCACTAGCCGTTTCCTGGCAACATATTTTAACATAGGATCTATAACAGTCTCACTGAATTACATACTCCAGATATCACACATAGAGTCTTCTTTTCACAGCCGCCCTCTTGCAACTAAGTCTTTTCTTCACAGCTTCCCCTACAGAACTCCACTGAACTGCCAACCCTCAACTAAACTCTCACACTCACCAACCAGCTACTTCACCCAAGTGAACTGCTCTCAGATTTTTTATATATATGGCCTCGGGGCATACCCAACAGAAACACCGCCTCCAACAGTCCCTCTATTGTTGTTATTAGCGGTTGCCTAGCAATAGTTCTCTTTACCGGCCATTACGAAGCAATGCACATTCCTTCTAGCGATCGTTGCATAACAAGTACATGCTGCACTATCTGTCTATCTACCTACCCATCTATCTATGATCTAAGCTGTATAATACATCTAATCTGTCTGTCTCTCTGTCTATATATAGGCCTACAAACGAATTTTGCTGGGGAAATTTCTTAGAAGTGAAGCATTGATTTTAAATAATACGACAGAGCGGATGTGGAAGATAACATGACGAGGATCGTAGGCGCTTTTGAGGTGAAATCCACCGAACAAGTAAGTTGAGGCTGTACAGCTTCTGACTCGTATGCGAGCAGTGCCTGCATCTAATCTCCTGCGAGATACTGACTGGCCGTCAGCCTAGCAGACTGTACTGACTGTGATGTTTCGTGGTTTCCTTCAGACCCTATATGAAATATAGGGGTTGGATATTAAACTAAGCCAGGACCGTTTCCCTTAAATTCATTTCCCATTCATTATTCTATGATCATTCCTTCGAGCTACATGAGATGAGTTACAAAGAGCATCGTTAAATAAGCCATAAATAAACATATTAATGCCGGTCACGGTAGCCGAGCGTTATAAGGCATATACTGTCTTCGCTCGCTTGGAAACCGGGATCGTGGGTTCGAATCCCACTCAGGGCATGGATGTTTAGTTTGTGTGTGTGCGTTTTTCTGTGTTTGTATACATGTAGAGGCCTTGCGACGAGCTGATCACCCGCCCAAGGAGTCCTACCGAATGTGTAAGATCTAGAAAAACCGAAGTGAACGGAGAAGTTCATGGAGGTAGGCCTAGGCGCACTGGGGCTGTAGCGCCAAGGAAAAAAAGGCACTAACCCACTCTTAGCCTGGAAGTGCCGAAAAAGTCAGAAGAAACTTCAATCAGGATGCCCGATATGCCGACCGATATCGGAATGGGAAAACTTCGAATGCGAAACAAGAATTCTGATCAACCCTGAAGCGTTCAGTCCTGATTAATAGAAGGGAAGATAATATTAACAAGAGTTCATTTGGCTCGGGATAGAGACGCGATAATGAACCTTCGAGATAATTGAAGGCATTGATTTCCTTGAGTAGCTGAACAACTGTCAGCTTAACAAAAAGGTTCTGTGACGTACATTTATTTAGGATAGTAAGAATATGCTACCGATAGTGTAACAATTTCTACACGCGATACGAGGAAGTCTTCGCAGCCTTGTGTAGGCGTTACGTTTGCTGCTCTAATGGATTGTATAGTCCTGCACCAGGAAGAGCAATTATTACGTTCAGGACAAGAATCGTATATTTTGCCCCGTACAGTAGCCGCATGCCGTGCACTGTAGTACATACAGACTTCGGAAATCGGCCCTATGTCACAAACTCGAAGCCGGAATTTCGAAGGAATGACAAAATTTCCTATAATTTTTCCTAGTCAATTCCAGATCAGTTATTTAGAATTTATTGTATCCAGTTTTCTTAGCAATTACGATTGTGGTCTTCCGGACTATGACACCGTGTAGTTTTATGAGAGGATAACGTCGTTTCGGAGGAACATACTGCATTCATCTTCAGAGTTACAATATGTAAGTTAATTTCTTTACCCTCTTTTCTTGGCTCACATGCCAATATTTCTTATAAACTTCCTACGAACCCAAGCTTGTTACTGAACCCACACATTTCAGTCCTAAAGAATAGGACAGCATATTCCTGCAAAACATTGGTGATCTCCCACAGAATTCAAATATACCACAACTCGGAAGATCGTAGTCTTAATACTCATGCCTGTGGATATCTTAAAATCGACTTTTTTTATATTGCTAGTGGGGTGGGACTAAGTCCCTTGTATTGCGGCCACTTCTGGCCTATTTTACCAGCCCCAGATGATAAGTGAGGGTGATCGTGGAGAAATTGGTGGAACGAAGATAGGCAGGGGAAACCGAAGTACTCGGAGAAAACCTGCCCCAGCGCCACTTTGTCCGCCACAACTCCCACTTGACCAGACCCGGGATCGAACCCGGGTCGCCGCGGTGGGAGGCCAGAGACTAACCGCTTGAGCTATGGCGCGGCCTAAAATCGACTTAGATATACTTAATTTATACATGTATTTTATTAATTGGTAGCACTGCTACTGCGGAAGAGCTGAGGGGAAATAATACTGTAATAGAAAATGTCCTTGCGCCAAATTCTTCGAAGTATGAGAACAGGCACTGCAGACGCTATCCATTTTTCTCTTGATAAATATGTTTATAGCAGGGGAAATCGTATTTTTTTTTTAGTTTGCTGTCAAATAATTTAATACGTACATAGGGTCCAGAAATGAAGTAATTTCTACGAAGACAGCGATGAATCTTCGGCAGCTGTTGTTTATCAGTTTGTTTTTTGTCTTGAGAAATACAAACTTGATAGTGTTAACATACATTCTTATACATATTACAAAGCATTACTAAAATACATAAGCAGAATTCAGTTTTTTTAAAATAACTGCTATGAATTCGTTATACATAATTCTGCCTGAAATTAATGTAAAAAAAAGTACTAGTTCAAAGAATAAAGATATTTGTGTATCACGATTTTTTGAAGGCTGTAAAATCTTCTGAATTTAGCTGGACGTAACTTTCGGGCTTGCAGAGTTACAATTACTGTTCAAAATTTGCCACAAATTCAGTATATGCCTATTGACGAAAAGTACGTATGTTAGAATATTTTCTAATTGTAAATTTAAGAAACCAACAAAACTTTTAGATAAAATGTCTTGTGTTTCTAACGGTAAAGCTCATGTAGACGGACTTCTTTCGGCGGTGGGAAATGTGTGGAACGAAAGAAGAAATAGTACAAAATAGAATTTTTGTAGGTGAAGTTTTGAACTAAATCCATGGAGCAGCCAGTAGTTGCTTAGCCAATCAAGAAATTTCCAGAATTGTATGGAACACAAAGGTTCATTATCATCTTGACTGTAAACCGCCACTAATCTACGAGTATATCATGCGCCAGATGAAACCAGTTGGCACTGCCACCTTCTTCCTTTAAGTCTAATATTAATATTATCATCCCTTCTGCATCTATATCTCCCTAGTGGACTCCTACCTTCAAGTGTTCCTACCAAATACCCTATATGCTCTCCTCTTACATGCCAGCTATATGCACTGCCCATTTCATCCTTCTGGACTTTGTCATTCTAGTAATATTTGACGAAGAGTACAAGCTATGAAGATCCCCATTACGCAGTTCTTTTCTAGCCTCTTATTATTTCTTCCTTCTTAGGTCAAAATATTGTCTCCGACGCCATGTCCTCAAACACACTCATTCTATTCCCCACCCCCCACTCCATGTTAGTGACTATACAGTAAACACATACACAATTGCAGGAAATCACAATTTGTTGGTAAGCCAGTGCGTGTCTCATTACTCGAAATTTCGTCATGTAATAAGGCACACACTTGGAAGTGAAATGCAACTGTAAATACTTCGAGATCTGAAGGTGGTTTATTGTAGTCGAGAAGCTTATTGTAGATCCAAAACCACGAAAAAAGTATTTGAGGAACAGACGGAACTATAAGAGATACATACACGGTTGCAATATATTCCTCGAAAGAAAATAAACAAAGGGCTGACCTGACTGAACTTTTGATAACAAAGACTGTAATTGAGGAAAACCACGGAAAATATTTTTGCGTGTTTCATAAGTGTGTGTTTATTACGTTGGTACGCGTTAACACAGAGAGAAATGAAATCCGAATATTTCCCAGGAAAAAGATGTGGAAAGGTGGTAACTGTGAATGCAAAGTGATAACTCGGTAACACCTATTTTTAAATGGCTAATAAGACTGCTTTAAATGTGGATTTTAAAGTGAACCTGTTGTTAATAAATTCGTATTACATCTACTAACTCTCCTGACATGTTGCAAAATTGATACTTACTGGCAAAATTAAAATATTATGCAACCGTTAGATGAAGTGTAACGTATTGGTTTAAGGGTTTAAGCCTTACATTGTTACACAATCAAAAAATAATTTCGAAAGGTCGAAAAAACATCGATCGGGCAAGTTTTGACATTGATCAACTCCATCACATGCCGACATTGATTAAATTCGCATTATGTCCAACTTAACTTCCTGCTCTATGATTTACATTTCATGATGTTACTCCGTGATGATTTCTGTCTTAAAACATGCACTTGCTTGGCCAGAGTGTTTTTCCCCCACTATTCCAAAAAGTATTATTACATACGTAAATAAAAGTTTCGAAAGATTAATCTGGATTTTCAAGCTCATGCCCTACTTTCTCTTTGTTAATACGCCAGATGGCACTGGTTGTCAGAAAATCTCGTTCGATCTCGTTCATCGTTTGCAGTTAAAATTTAATATGTGACTTGTTTTGGGGTTTTGAATTAAGGATGGTTGTGGGCGCCTTTCCTATTGCAAAGTTAGGTGCTTTGTTAGTAAGACAAGTAAGCAAACCCATAGCAAATATGCTCATAAGAAGGGCTAAAAACTATCCATTTTTTAGGAAATATATATGTATGCCACCCGCTCAGTGTAAGTATCTGTTACTGCTCAGTATAGGTTAAGTGTTAAGTACAAAGTTACGCTGGAATATATAAAGGTCGAATTGGAATATTGTAATTACAGGAGGAGGGTACCGAGGTGATGCTTTGCAAGCAAAGAGAATTGATATTTCGATATTATCATTTCATAATTTAATTTAGATTTACATTTAAACAAACCCGCAGACAGCGTTGTGAAGATTACTAAATTATCCTGGCTGTGTCTGCATACACGTTTTGAGTAGAAGTGTATATAGTGCTAGCATAATGAAAAGTAAAGTGGTAAAGTTGTCCCAATGAAGTCAAAAGGGCGGGAGGGAGGTTGGAAGTATAGCATCACCAGGGTTGACCTTGGCACTAGATGAAGGTGAGTGATGAGCTTCAAACCCCAGCTGCCTGACCTCCAGGTGCTCATTGGATAGGAGGCTTGGTGGGCCAAAGCCAGTCTGGATTCTGCGGAGAAGAGAAGAATCTCTTGCCTTGCTGGGAATCAAACCCAGGCCATCCAGCCATAGCCTATCACTATGCCAGCTGAGTTACCACAACTCCTGTACCATCACTATTTATATATGTATTGTGACAGTGCTTTTGTAAATAATTATACTTCAGCCTTAATCTCTTGCAGTTGGCTTTACACACATTTGCCATTTATAGAATGTGTTTGACACTTGTCAATAATTAGATACAGTGCATTCAGAACTAAGTGTGAAGTTATTTTGAAAGCCATGGATGAGGAGATTTTGGCCTTTACATTTAACTCAGGTCACAAAAGTATAAATACTTGACATCATATATTCTAATAATGACAACATATTTCATATGAAGAAACTGTGCAGATAATTCCACCCTGGACAGAGGACAGTTCCTATATTCATTTTTAATGATTCATATTTTAAAACAAGTTGTTAAAAATGAATACAGGAACTGTCCTCTGTGTAGGAGTCCTGGTAGGAGACGATTTTTCTCATCTCCACATTGTGCAGACTGGCTGTGGGGCCCAGCCATCCTCCTTTCCAGGGGGTACTGGGGGTAAAGCAACGAGGAAGCGAAGCTAACCACTCACCCCTAACTAGTTCTGAGATCGAGAATATGTGGATGTATACATCCACCCCCATCACACATCTTCATGTTAATTAGTTAAGCACAGGGACAACTTCACTTCACTTCCCCCTCCCCTAAAGTTTTGCACAGGATTTGATGCCATTTATGGAACCATAATGTTTGCCGTTTTGCTGTACAATTGAGTGCTCTGAGCACATGAACATCACAGCTGATACAAGACATTGATTTCTGTCAGTAGAGGTGAAGTCAGCATTTATTGCATTTGTTACAGTTTATATATGGCTACATTATTGCATAATATGAAAAGGTAAATGGTAACAGGCCACGGAGGCCCATAGAGTTGTGAGGCGTTGAGGCTCCCACATTTTTTAGACAGTCAGCTCGCAGATGGTGATGAGGTTGTCAACCTTACATGCTGGCTGCCCTTTATCCCCAGGAAGATTCCTGGTACTCATTTCTGTTAGAGACTGAGTCAACCCCAAGGCCATAGTATTTTGGTGGAACTTGAGTTAAAAGCTAGTTGCATAAGAATTTAATATTTTGGATAAAATTGAAGAAATCTCCAGTGAGTTAAATCCATAATTTTATAATCAAACAAGTCACACACAACCTCAATATTAAACAACCTGTGAAACCTATGTAGCATCATCAAATAATCTAGAAACTGAAGCACACACTATAGTGTACAATTAAATAAGTATCACGTCCATGATGTGTATGTATTGACCCGTCTTCTGGTGCACACAATCTCACATGTCACTTCACTACATGTTTCGGCATCACTGTGCCATCCTCAGGTGTGTTATTTACGTTAAACTATTGCACTGTTCGCCATCATGTGTCGTTTGTAAAATGTATATTTGTCATGTACTGTGTAATAAAGTTTATATATTAAAATTTTGTTAAGATTTATCATCTTATACATCATATTTCAAACTCACATATTATATCAATCTTCCACTATGGGAGTTGTTCTTCCTGTGTTTTGTGTATACTGCGTCTTGTGATGTGTCCTCTTGTGGCTGCGTGCGTATCATGCAGTATCACTGTGATGTCAGATGAAATTCATTGTCCACCATGCATGGGCTTCCTGACTCTGACTGACTATGTTTTCTAAGATAGACATACCTACATTACTGTTTTTTTGTTTTACAGTTTACAACTGGTGTGAAGTGAAGTCAAAAATGTGGATATTGAAGCTTGGGAAGCCAGTTAGTGTTCCAACCTTGAGTGAAACAATGGCAATTGAACTAGGAGCCAATCTGATTGGTGAAGGCATCATTTTTATTATTGCAGCAGGAGTTTTATACTTGGAATATACCCGGCAGGCACGTAGAGATCGATTGAAGGAAGAAGCAAGACAAGATGAAATACAGAGGCTGAATATGATACTTGAAGATCTCTACTTTCAGAGTGAGAAGCAGGATGCGCAAATACGAGAACTAATGAGAACCGTTCATGACCTTCAAGGTCGAGTCATTCATAAACCATGGCTAGGGCGGAAGGATTCACCTCCACCCCCACCTCCTCATTCACATTCATCCCATCCTCCACTGCTTCCTGTGCGAGAACTGGATGCCGATGGAGAGTTGAAACAAAGAAACCCTGGAAATAATGGAAAACCTGTTGAATGTAGTAACAATGGCATAATTTTACAGGCTTTAGATTATTTTGATTATGAGGTGAGAGGAAGACAGTACCATATATCAGAATCATAACCAATGAATACTTAGCAGGAGGTAAAACTTATGTTAGCTCAGTGAGATACAGTAAAGGGAGTGTTTCATCCTGTCTGCTGTCACTTTTAAATTAGATTAACGGCCGTGGGGATCCGTTGCGCTGACCACGTGACACCCCTTATTCGCAGAAGTTGGCATTAACTTCCCCGACAAGCGGCGGTCGCTCGGTTGGTATAGTTCGCTTGCGGACTACAGGCCATGGAGTGTGTGTGTTGTTGTGTGATAGAACTATCCAGATTTTAGAATTATCATGGAAGGCATACGTAACAATATACACCAAATGTATGTACATATTGTAAATATTTTTTTGTTTCTAATATTTCATTTCCTTATAGGTTTAGAAAATTTATATTATTGCCCCCCCACCTTTCCCCTAGCAAACAATAAATATGTTGTGTGTTGATAATTTGCAACAAAAAATATTTTGTATTTTACAGATGTTTATATTCAGTGGTCTCATATCCCATGTTACTCCAATCTTTTGTTGATAGCATCTGATATATTTTGCACGCTAATCTGAAAAATTAGTTCCTGATTTCATTTGTTTATAATACCAAAAGAATGATATAAATGAGAAACTTTTTTTTTGGAATATAGTACGTGGCATTTGATAAGACAAACTTCACATCTCCGCACATCTGCCTGTGTGTCCAACACATTTACAAAGTGTAAGTGCAACATTCTACTGACATGTGCAGGCAGTGACATGGGAAATTTTGAAAAATCTTGACTCTTAATCAAGTTCTTCCAAAGGTCTTTGCATTTTTCTTACCCTTATCTCTCTTCCTCCTCCATCTCTACAAAAAAAAAATTATCAAGATACGACTTCTTGCTGGGTATTCATTTGGACCTTAGTCAAATTTCCTGTAATCCATTTTCATACTAGTATTGTGAAACTGTGTCCTGCCCTGAATAAAAATTATGTTTTGTTTATTCTTGCACTCTTCGATAGTGGGCCACTCTGTGGGGGTTGGATGATGTCGGCAGGAAGTGGGGATAGAAGGAACATGCAGGTGGATACGTGGGGGTGTGAGATATGCCATGAATGAAGTTGGCCCTTTCTGAAACCATTCCACCTTCACATCATTCTTCTAGTGTTTATAAGCAATGCAAATTAGGGAATTAACTTTTCAGCCACACTGCAAAATGTATGGTATTGACCATAATTATTTTTTAAGGGATGGGGAAGATCTGACAAGAATCCAGATACTATTTTATGCACATACAGTATGGCTTCTTTGGTCATTGCTGTAGTGTGACCAGTATGGATAAAAAGCCTCTGATACAGCTTACCATTACTTATTAACCTGCATTTCTTATCTTTAATGACATATTTTCCAATAATAACTTTCAAACCAGTTGATTAATTTTTTTTAGTAAACTTGGTATAGACATCATATGACCAGAGGCCACTAGTATGGAAATGCTGTTAAGGTGACCTTTTGTAAAACATAAAACTACAACATAGTGGCCATGCAAAATCTACATAAGTCTAACTTTAATCTCATGTCTTTTCTAGTATTCTAGCCCAGCAGTTTTAAAACACTTCTGGCATCTCTTTTTAAGGAGAATCCAGTGTACGATTGTGATTCTTGGATATACAGTTATTCCACGATTGAGATATTCATTACTAAATCTTTTAAAACCTAAGGAAATGGGAAAACTAAGGTTGATGTGGACAAAGAGTTACAGGGGATTGTATCAGGAACAAAAATTAGGTTGCAGGTATTGTTGAATTTGTGGGAAGAGCAGGTGAAAGGATTTCAATAGAATGTGAGGACATAAATTACAAAGAAGGGACTATGTTGGAATGATAAATTTACCTTTACAATTTGTGTACAGGATCACATTTGGTAAGTACAGGACAGTAGCCTGAACATGGAAGTAATGTTGTGTATTTTTATACGTTCTAGTATACATTACATCTGGAATAATAAATGAGCATAAATTTGTGACTGCATTTTGAGTGACTGGACTTTATGTATGTTTTTGCAGCACAGATTAGTAATGTGCAATCTTTTTTTGTCAGAAAATTAACATGATTTAAAATAATCAACTTTATTGCCTTTAATATTGAGTACATCATATAAAATATTTTTAAATAAACTGTCTTTATACTTCTGAATACAATATTACATGTTTTCATCCTACTGCAGAAACAGCTAGATGCAGAAGGAAGGTAATGCAGTTGTGAAATCACACAAAGTGCAAACCTTGATGGGATGCACCTTTTCCATGGGTGTATGTTGTTTACATATGAAAAAATTGAAATGAAATATTGTTGGGAAGATAGCAATGAATGCAGTCAGTACAAATCTGGAAATATGCATTGCATTTCCTCCCAGACTATAAGAAATGTCCCATTTCAGTATGGAGTGTAGGGAGCAGACCAGTGCTGTTGTTGACATGTTTAATGAACAGTTTCACATAAAAAGGAAACTATTCATTGGCCTTAATTTCTCTGTAGTGACTCACAACATGTCTGTAGCAGAGAATATTAAGCAGAATTCTGATATTGCCTTGCAATATTGTTGCTATAAAATTTGCATTTGTAATACTATTTATTTAATTAAGATGCACATACTTCCTGATATTTTGGTCATGTCATAATTATTCAAATGTAAAGTTACCAATTATTTTGTACTTAAACCAGAAGCACTCTTCAGTAATTGGTTTAGTAATTGTGTAAGTTATTAAGTCTTGTGCCAAGGGTGTATATGGAAATTGTGTTTTATTGAAATCAAGGATATGATACCTATCTAAGAGAATAAATATTGCATGTCTGAAAGAGGTCTGGTAAATATCTGTGTCCACTGATATGTAATTTATACCCATTTATGCCTTCAGAACATTTCAAAGTGCTTGAATTCCCCTTTCAGCATCTGTCATATTAAACCTCAGACCAGCAGGCAGGCATGGAAATGATATTAGTTCTTTGTTTGACATGTATGAAATGAACATAGTTAAGACAAGGTCTCATCCATCTACAAATTGTATCTCCAAAACTACTGATGGATTTCACATCCACACTAAAAGATAATTTTGAGCCTTATCAGCCCATTTTAATGCCATGTGCTGTCAGAGTTCTGTGATGAGGTGTGCTGGATCCACGGGGTCAGCAGCTGGAGTTAGTAGCTCGCCGGGGATCCTTAAGGGCTCGCCGTACACGAGCTCAGCTACTGATGCTTGCAGGTCCTCCTTGAATGCCCTGCGGATTCCGAAGGGAACCAGGGAAAGCCCCTCGGTCCACTGTTGGTCCACGTGGCACATGATGGCTGCCTTCAGTGTCCGGTGGAAGTGTTCCATGAGTCCATTAGCTGCTGGGTGGTGGGTGGTTGTACATGAAAGCTGGATGCTGCACAGCCTGGCCAGGGATTGGAAGAGTTGAGATTTGAACTGGCGTCCCTGGTCAGTAGTGATGGTCTGTTAGACCGGCGAAACCGCGTGTTAGTATGTGGGATGTTCCCACAAATCCTTAATTTTCACAAAGCCCAAATCAGAGTAGCTTTAAAAAAGACTCATTTAAGAAAACATTAGTAAGTCTGTGAAATACGTGGTCTGACGACAAAGTTCGTGAACTCAGCATGGTAAAAATGCTACATACCTCATTGCTGAATATCACTGTGTTCACCTTCAGAAGGTATGCACATGCCAGCCCTTCAAAACAATTTTGGAACTGGTCTTGTGGAATGTCCTTCAGAGCTGTCAATGCATTACACCTGATGTCATTGGTGTCATCAAAATTTCTTCCTTTCAATATTTCCTTTATCTTTGGGAACAGAAAAATGTCACTGGGGGTAGATTCAGTAAATAGGGAGGGTGTTCCAGCACAGTTATTTGTTTACTAGCTGTGAACTACCTCACAGCAGTGCGATGTGAGCAGGTCCATTGTTGTGCTGCAAAAGCCATGGGTTGTTGGCGAAAAGTTTGGGTCATTTCTGTCTTTTTTACGCAGCCTTTTCAGTACCTCAAAATGATAAACTTGGTTGACTGTCCAGTTGGTACAAACTTATAGTGAACAATCCCTCTAATATCAAGAAAAAGTTCCTTTAAAGAGAGGTAGTATAAAGGACACGAACCAAATTGGTTCTAAATTTTAAGAAAGTCTCTTTAAACCACACTTGTAAACAAACTGATTATAATAATTTATAAATATTTTAATATATTCATGCACACCGCTGTAGTTGTAGGATCAAATTTTATATTCATGGCATTGTGATAATGTATGTATGTATTGATATTGACAAATCACATTGTAATAGTAGTTTCTGCTTATATTGATACATCCTTCTGAAGATAGTCTCTCAAACCAAAACATGTCAAGGATGGAAGATTAAAAAGGAGAGAAAGAAGAAACATTTTATCAGTCACACTGGGCAGAGTTGATAACCTTTTATAATATTTCTAATGTGATGGACCAAGTTGAATCAAATCAAATCCTACCCCCCTAACCAGATCAAAGGCTTGCTTGAAGTTTACAAATTGCTGATGTAGTGTCTCATTGTACTCTCATTTTTTCTCCATTATTTCATGAATGCAAAAGATTTGTTGATCTGTTATGTCAAAACCCACACTGATGATCATCAATAATTTCATCTATGTATGGACTAAACCTTGAAAGAAGAATATTGGATAGAATTTTATATGAAATTGATAGCAGTGATTCATTCATTCATCAGTAATCTGTCAGATGACAGGTCCACAATCTCTTCCAAAACAGTTCCTGCACTTAATGCGATCTNTTCGTTGCAAACTCATCAATTTTGTCTTTCAGATATTACCACTTTCTTATTCTCTCTAATAGTTTCACAAACTCTAATAATATCCACTTCAGTGTCTAAGTTTTACAAATTTGTGAACCTATTTGAGATTTCAACATGATACTGCTCTTTACCCTCTACCTTGTTTAATTTCTTGAGTTTGAACCTCTCCATATGAACCTGTGCTTTGTTTGTTTACTCACTGACAGTCTCTCCCTAACTTCTGCCACCACCAGGTAGTGTGATAAGTATCAAAATCTGCTGCCCTGAATGATCGGACACCAAGTATACTTGAATGCCATCTCCTGTCTATCAAAATATG